GTCATCGGTCCTCGGGCAGCGGCAACAGCACACGTCCGCTGGTGCCGCCGTCCACGCACGCCCTTTGTGCCTGCGATATCAAAAGGGCGGCGATAAATACGGCGGCTTAAATGGATTCGGCGTTGGGCGCGTACTGCATCCCGTCCGCAGATCGTAATATTAAAGCGGCCGTTGCTTTGTTGCTGTTACCCCTTCTAGCCTCCGACATAAATGCAGTGTGTGTGTGTTTGTCTGTGTCTCTGTTTGTCAATCTGTGTCAGTCTATCTAATCGCCTGTCTGTGCTATTTTGTATCAGTCTGTCTGTATGTATGCCCACCACATCTCAGTCTAGCTTTTTTTCTTAGTATACAGTATATCACATACTGAATCATGAATATACATATACATTCACATACACGTACGCAAACAAGTACACAAATACACACATATGTATGTATATATGTGCGTGTGTGTGGGGGGGGGGTCCGTGTGCGTTAATACAGATCTATACCTTATTCCTTTTTCATTTATATACGCATACAACTTATACCTAAACCACTGCAGTCTGATGGCAGTGTAGACCGAAACGAAGCAATAGCCATTCCCGACATGTCCTCCCTCGTGCCCTATGCCCCAGCGCCCCCTCCGCCCGCGGTCGCTCTCCCAATGGGGCGGAGGTGAGGGGGCGGGGACATGCGGGCAAAACACAATCACCATTCATTACGGCGGAACATCTCCTCGGGTAATTACCGGTAATGCTGATGCCGCGAAGGGAACTGATTGGGCAGTTAACAGCCACGAGACCTTGGTGGGGCTCCCAAGACACTTCAGGTCTTGTAAAACTTTCTATGATAGTTTTTTGTCATTCCAAATGATCTTCCTATATGGGAGAACAACAAATGTAAAATGTACAATGTATAATACATATATATATATATATATATATATATATATATATATATATATATATATATATATATATATATGTATATAAAGAGCAGACAACATGTGATGATAGGAGGGAGGGAAGGAGTGAGGGAAAAGTGAGGGCCTGAAGGGAGCTTAAGATACGGAAATGGGAGGAGAGAGGAGGGGTTGTGGGAAGGAGGGAGGGAGAGGGAGAAGGGGGGGAGAGAGAGAGAGAGAGAGAGAGAGAGAGAGAGAGAGAGAGAGAGAGAGAGAGAGAGAGAGAGAGAGAGAGAGAGAGAGAGAGAGAGAGAGAGAGAGAGAGAGACAGACAGAGAGAGACAGACAGACAGAGAGAGAGAGACAGAGAGAGAGAGACAGAGAGAGAAGACAGACAGAGAGAGACAGACAGACAGAAAGAGAGAAGTGGGGGGGGGGGGGGAACAGAACTGGAAAATCGAATCACGATGACCACGAACCTGAGAGATCTCACTGTTCCCCGCCGCCGTCGTCCAAATTTTCTCACCCTTTCCAACGTGGATCTTTGGCGTAATCGGAATATAAAAGAATGATGAAATGGATATCATATATGTACCCGATTTCTCCATTACTTATTTATTTTGAAGAAGCGCAAAGTTATAAACATAGGAATTGTAAAGAAAAAAAAACATAACTTCAGGTTATAAAACAAACTTGTGCAGGACAATTAGAAAGTTAATAGAAAGTTGATAACAATAATTACATCCCAATCGTACAAGTGTGTACCACTTCCTAGAGTATATATATACATATCTATAAATATATATATACACATATACATATGTATACATACATATATATACATACATATATATATACACATATACATATGTATACATACATATATATACATACATATATATATACACATATACATATGTATACATACATATATATACATACATATATACATACACAAACACACACACATACATATATATAGATATATATGTGTGTATATATATATATATATATATATATATATATATATATATATATATATATATATATATATATATATATATATATGTATATATATATATATATATATATATATATATGTATATATATATATATATATGTGTGTGTATATATATATATATATATATATATATATATATATATATATATATATATAATATATTACATGTATATATACACACACATGTCTATATACATATATGTATGTATGTGTGTACATATTACATATGTGTGTGTGTGTGTGTGTGTGTGTGTGTGTGTGTGTGTGTGTGTGTGTGTGTGTGTGTGTGTGTGTGTGTGTGTGTGTGTGTGTGTGTGTGTGTGTGTGTGTGTGTGTGCGCGCGCGCGTGTGCGTAAAGAACCAGGAGAAAGAGGAAGACAAAGAACGAGACCAAGCACAAGAAAATGGGAAGAAGACAAAGCTCGACACAGGGGACGAGCAAAGTGTATGTAACCGAGTATCCGTTATCTGTAACCTCGCCCATCTGCCTCTTAACTGGTTTAATCACGATCAAAGTAACAATTTGCCGCGACGGTGCCCGAGAAAATGAGAGGCATCAGCGCTCCATGCTTGCTTTAACTCGGCTCTGCCCTCGCTGATGGGGTGGAGTCCGCCGAGGCTGTGCGCAATCCGTCATCCGAGAGGCGATGGAAATGGCGCCAGCATTCTCTTTTCTATTTTTGCAGTCGCTGGATATCCTCGCTGTTGTCTTGTCCACACTTTCGCCGCGGCCACCCGAGTCACTGACGTCATTGTAGCTCCATGACTTCGCGTATAATGTCAAAAAAAATCTCACGCGCAGAGATGGAACTGCAAGCCGATGACTAAGTAATGTCAACACCATTCGCTTTACACCATACGCGGCCTATCACACACCTCAGTACAACCATAAATACGTCCCTCTCCTCTTTTATTGCACCGTTCATACCGTCGCCACAAAAGTCAGGGAGAACACAGAACACCATCACACCAGAAAGTACATGACCGACGCCAAAAACTCACCAGAGGTTCACCACACATTACGAACGGGAAATCCAATCCCCAGGCTCATTATATTCGAAAGTCATTACGTCACCAACCTGAAAAAAAAAACATGTCATTAAAATCGATCACTTAACATTGAATCTTTAAGCTGAAGGACGTTACATATCCTTCCCTCTGATTAATCATTATATCTCACATCATATCATATCGCAACATAATCATAGTTATCATCACCGCTTTAAACATAAAAAACATTCCTTAACGGCATAAGCAAACCAGAACAACCAAAATATCAAACCAATTTAAAGCGAGCTTAAGTGGAGGCTGCAAGAATCATGTTTCCAATTCGGATCCGTCATGTGCAAATGCAACGCAACACAATGAGCATTCTTTATCGGATATGATAATCGACGGCACGGATTCCATTACGTTGATAAGCGGTCTAATGTACATGGACACATCAAAGAAATTTGCATTCGATTTCCGAAGCTTCCAAAAAAATGAAAGCGGACGGACTGATGGATAAAATGAGGGTATATCATGTTCACGTAAGAATTCTATATAATGATAATGATAACGGGAAAATGAATAATAATAACAACAGTAGTAGGCTAGTAGCAGTAGTACAACACTAATGTTACTAGCTGCAGCTTGCTGCTGCTGCTATTTCCACTACTAATACTATTACTATTGCTAGTAGAACTAAAAATCCCATGAAAGACAACAATATTATTATCGTCAACAAAAACAATGTCAGCAATAATACAAAAACAATGTCAGTAATAATACAAAAACATCAACGGTAATAACATTAACCAAAAAAACAATAGTTATATTATATATAATATAATCATACGATTTTGACAATAGTATTAAAATATTACTGCAACTGCTTTTACTGCTTACTACTACTGCTTCTACGACTGCTGCTATTACTACTACTACTACAACTCTTACTACTACTACTACTACTACTACTACTACTACTACTACTACTACTACTACTACTACTACTACTACTACTACTACTACTACTACTACTACTACAACTCTTACTACTACTACTACTACTACTACTACTACTGCTGCTGCTGCTGCTGCTACTGCTACTGCTGCTGCTACTGCTACTGCTACTGCTACTGCTACTGCTACTACTACTACTACTACTACCATTACTACTACTACTACTACTACTACTACTACTACTACTACTACTACTACAAGCCTATTACTATTACTAGCCTACTGCTACTACTACTATTACTATTACTACTAATAATATAATAATAACATCGTAATTATCAGAATCACAAACAGTATTATCAAAGAAAACCAATAATGAAACAAAAACTTCTATCAACATCACAATACATTAAAATGAATAATAATTAGGCAACAGATAAAACACATGGCCATTCATTATTCATATGTTAAAAAATACTCAGGCTCAATAAACAAGAACCACACACAAAGAGATCTTAAGTGATCTTTTTATTCAGTAAAGAAAAAATGCCATCACCCTCAATTAATGAAAATATTTAAAAAATAAAAGACACTCAACTTCACGTCTCATATACAAAAACATTATTCACAATTACCCACAATTAACATTACCCACATTCCCCACAATCAATAACTAAACATACAGAAAGCATTTCAATTTAATATTCATATATAAAAAATAACCAAAGACCAATAAATAACAGTAACGACTAAAACGACTAAATTCAACTAAATAAATGATAATAACAAAACAAATTAAACACATTCCAGTGCATTATCAATATCGGAAAAACACCAGACCCCAAATAAACAATAGAAATATATAAAAATAAAGCATACTTCGATTCATCTTTTACTAATATATATATATATATATATATATATATATATATATATATATATATATATATATATATATATATATATATATATATATATATATATATATATATATGTACATCTAAGCCCATGTATGCAATTCATTACTCATATACAAAATGAATGAATGAATGAATAAGTAAAATAAATAAATAAATAAAACACGAGACCCCTTCGTGCAGATCATTACTCACGTGTGAATATAATAAATGAACAAATATCTAAATAAAACCGAGGCCCCTTTGTGTGCGTGATGCGCCCCTCCCCTGGTGGCGGGGAACAGCGGCGGTGACCTGGGGCGACATCGCATTTCGCACGCCTTCACTACGCCCTTCCAAATCGGCACGCGGAAATTTTTACGAGTTTCCGTTCTAGATAATATCGCGTCGAATGGCACTGCGAGGTGTAATAGCGTTGGTCGTATTAATAGCTGACGGTGGAATCAAAGTATTGTGACCTGCAGGGGATTAAGGTGAAGGCAGTAGTTGTAGTAATGCTTGTAGTGGTGGTAGTAAGTGCAGTTAATCTACATAGCATGCATCAGAAGGAGGAGGGTGGATAAAATATTAAGGAAGAGGTGGAAATGAAGAAAAATGGGGAGGATGAGGAGGAAATCCGGGAAGAAAAGGAGGAGGAGGAGGATAAGGAAGAGAAGGAGGAGGTGGTGGGAAAAAAGGAAGATGGAAGTAGAAAGAGGACTATCTAAATATCTCTTTGAAGCCCTCAGCGTAAAACTACTCATCCCTAATCATCTAAATTATCATTCATTTAAACCCAACAACTATTTTTTTTATGGAGTCTGAGAAAGAGTGAGAACGGAAACGTGATGCGAGTTACCAGCACCATGAAAACGTCAACATCAAAGTAATAACAATCCTACAGAAACAAAAGGCGAGGAAGTCCTGTGGCTGCGAAGGAGATCTAAGGTCAGGAGCTCGACGGAGAGGTCACTCCTACCCCCCCCCCCCACCCCCTCAGGCGAACCGAGCAGCAGGCGCAGCCGAGGATTCCTAAAAGGTTCATCGAGTTCGCCGTGTAAGCAGCGGGGGTCCACGAAACAGAAGGCGAGAGGGAGTCTGGATCATTTCAATTACGAGATGCTCCATGTTGTGTCCCTTCTCTCCCTTTCCTCTATCCCTTACGTCATTTCTCTCTTCTGAAGTCTCTGTCTCCAAGCCTCATCTCTTCCTCAACTTTCATCTTGCTTCTCAGTAAATCAGAGAAACTGACACAAAAAAACACGAGGCACAAACATACAAAACAGGCAAGAACTGATGGTAAGTGATAAACAACATCAATTTTCATGAGGAGGCTTGATAATACAGGTGCTCATGACAAGTACCTTCTGCATCACAACATAGCAGATGCTATCAAGCCCTCCCTTCTCCACCATGATAGTTTCCCGGTCCATTTTTTGCTCCGTTACGAGATTTCTGATTATGTAAATATTTCTTTTTCATCGCACTGTGTAACCCTAGGGACACACGTGCCGCGGCTGGCGTTTAGCAAACAGATGGCAACGTTTATGAATGCCTTCGTTATGCAACATCACACGAACATTTCTTTTCACAGGAAGCCTTTCATGATGTGACGAATGACTTGAATATGTGTGTGTGTGTGTGTGTGTGTGTGTGTGTGTGTGTGTGTGTGTGTGTGTGTGTGTGTGTGTGTGTGTGTGTGTGTGTGTGTGTGTGTGTCTGTGGGTGGGTGGGTGGGTGGGTGGGTGGGTGGGTGGGTGGGTGGGTGGGTGGGTGGGTGGGTGGTTGGTTGGTTGGTTGGTTGGTTGGTTGGTTGGTTGGTTGGTTGGTTGGTTGGTTGGTTGGTTGGTTGGTTGGTTGGTTGGGTGGGTGGGTGGGTAGGTGTTTGCGTGCGTGCGTATGTGCGTGCGTGTGTGTGAGTGTTTGTATGCGCGCGCACGAGTGTTGGTGCGTGCATGCGTCACTCCTTACATCATTTCCGGTCTCAGCGTCGCAAAATTCCTTTGTCTTCGCGGCCGGCATTCCAACTGCCCATCGGGAAGCGTACGGCGGTTAAAGGGCCCGAAAAAAGTTATTGCGATAGCGTTCTCCACGCCGCTGCCACTTAGCTCACGCTTGAGACCGTCGTTTGCAAGCTGTTATTAGTCTTTAGCGAACCTTCGTATGCAGAGCCAGGCACAGTTGGTGTAGAATGATGAAGTGGATGAAGAATGGATGGAAAGCGGATCAATCTGACAATCAAACTGGAAGAATATCACATATATTGATATATCCAGCAGGATATGTTCTGGAATATCCTTCCCACATACGCTTTCCGGCTTATCCCCCAACGTCATACTACACAGCAGCCTGGACCCAGCCTCGCTGCCCGGCTACTTATCTCGCCGATCGGATGGAACGAATGCGGTATCGGATAAAGCTTACCGATAAATTGGTTTATCACTAATATCCGAGTGCCCCTAATGCGATAGGTAATTAATACCAACCGGATAATAACAAATAACTACGCAAAAAAGAAATCACCTAAATATCTCACCATCGAAAAGAAAGAAAGAAAAAAACGGCCTAAAAATATAACGAAATTCTGTACAGTTCCGAGGCAGCCGCTGAACCAGACGCTGTGCCACACGGCGGGCGATGTGTCGGAAATGAAGCGGCCACAACAGGGTACACGCGGAAGTGTTCCTGCTGCTGCTGCTCTTAGCCGAAATCCGGATCAGCGAGACATAGCTGTGAACGTGCACCTTTAA